CAATAATTATTCTAATGAATGTTCACTTTTATTGAAAAGCATATATTGTTGCGTTTTGAATCTTTATCTGAATAATTTTATTTACAAAGCAAGGATCCTATTAAATAAGAGCATAAAATGTACAACGCTAACATTTAATTAAAATTTGGAATTTTGCCATTCTCCTCGAGGGCAGACCAGCGACAATCTCTTGTCAATTTGTTAATTAATTAATATTTCTCATTGTCAGTAGCTGCTTGTCCTTTGAACTTGTACACCTCGCAGTATTCAGTTCGTAACAATATCTTTCCTCGAATTTTTTCGCAAATGTAAAATTTGGTAAAGAAATGAAAATAGTTATTTTCATGAAAACCGTACCCGTAGGTTATCCTTCATTTCTCGTGAAATTTAACTAACGTTCAACAATTCGTTTCATTATAACTTTCCGCTTCTTCGCCGGTTGGTGGGTGTCAAAAGTTTCTTTCTTGTTTCATAGCGATCGTAGTGAAAAATGTTGCGGCATTTCACGAAACGCGGAGGGTGCAAACGGCGAACGGTTCACGTGGCCTCCGTTCCTTGTTTCTTCATCATTTGACATTTGTAGAATACCGCGGAAGTTTTCCCATCCTTCCGTATCCATCCGCATTCGAAGGTTGCGGGGTCGATAAATAATTATTGCAATTAGTCCGCCATAATTATCGTCTCGACTCTGTGCGACGCGTGACACGATACGAAAGGACGATTCCTCATAAACAACGTGGCGGATCGTGGCGCAAATGGAGCACAAACTATCGCGGCCTTGGATGGCACGTGTTCTGAATTTAATGCCGACCCTCGATACCAGCAGACGTGATTTCCAGATTTATTTGCGCATATCGATATATCTGTGTATACGAAGTACACACTCTTCCACTAACCCGATAACCACACTGCTTCCTGGATGCGATTTCAGCTAAACATGCTGACGGAAAATGGAAAATAGTCGAATATTCAAAATCAATGTATTCCGTTCTTCTTCTTCGTCTTTATTAATGGACTGCGGATTTTCATGTAACTTAAATCATTAATGACGTTAATTTAAGTAATCGTGAAAATTAATTTTGTTATTTTTCTCTCTTGATCTGTTTAAATGTTAACAATACATTAATGATAGTATTATTTATCGATGGCTAAAGTTACAGGAACCCTATCGTCATGATAAGCGAGATATTCATCCTTAAATTTTGACTTTTTAATACTGATTCCTCGCGGAACTGATATTTTTAATTACAGCAAAAGAATTGCAATTACAATGTTTAAAAAACGCTAATATATCGTGTGAAAGGTTTACAAGAATGAACATTAAAACCAATGTTGTCTTCAGTCTCTGAGAAATAAAGATGTAGAATCGAATGGTGTTCATAAACCCATACTTTACACTATTGTCGGTAAAAGAACAAAAAAAACCTAGCCCTTTAAAAGTCTTAAGGGGTAGATTCCGATAGTGGCAGATTTTATTCAAAACAATTTGTCTTGACTATAAAATTATTTAAAATCAAAGACACCATAATTTCGTTTTTTATCTACTTATGTCGTAACGCCCATATTACTAAATATCAGCTTATTCTGATTAAAGCCATGACCAGAGGACGCTAGATTTAACTTTCGCCTTTACGAAGCGGTACTTGACGATCTAAGAATCTTATTATATTCCCGTAAATCCATATTTTTGGCCAATTTATTGGGCTATTTAGTTAACGGAATACCGTCTTTAAAGATTGACTGCAGTGATAAATGATCATGTTGCGCGCACTATCGATTTCTTATGATTATACGCATCACCGAAATGTTCATCGGACGGATTCGCAGAAATGATTAAATTCTCCCTCTTAATACGTGCACGCGATTGATAGTGATTGTAAAATGCAATGAACGACGTCCAGCTAGGTGGTGTGGGATAAAATCTGCGTACATGCAACGATGGAGGTAACATAATCTATAATCTCTATTATACGTGGAACGCTCACTCGCAGAACACGTTATCTGACTATCAGTACTAGTCTTCACTGATGAGAGATAGATGAACGCACGTGTGTTGAAATAGTCTAAACCGAACGAATTTTTCCTTTATTTTAAACTACTGTAATCATCGGTTGTAGGTCTGTGTGTTTTTCAAGCGTCGATCGGACACTGGAGGAAGTGAATATTTGTGAATTTTCTCATGTTATTCGAAGTGAGAAAGTTTTTCCTACCGCTAATAATTGTTCTGCTTCGTTGTATAGTTTATACAAATGTTTATTGAAACAGAATCTAGAAATGTTGAAACATCTGCGGTTTAGAGATTATTGAAGCAGTCTGTTATTCTAACATTGCCTTGATAATGTAACGAAGTTGTGTTACGTTCTATTCACAAAGTACTTCATTTCAGAAAATTAAAACTTAACCGAGATAGATAACATATAAAATACGTATTTTCCTTAGGCATAATTTTAAGAATTTTTCCTCGAGATTGACGTAAACAACACTAGTGTCTGTATATTCCAATCCGGATATTTTTTCGGCTGGCAAGAATTCGAATTCTGTATCAGAGTCTGTCCTCATTCATGAACGCTTGATTGTCATATTTTATAAACAGCGTAGCTCACGATGATTGTTGTTCGAGCTCAGCGATTATTTAGCAATGGCCTTGAGGATGATAATACCACGAGACTCGCCATTTTTCATGTCGTCACTTCGCCCCATAAAAATAGTAGGCCCATCTGTTTCAACATGAAACGGATCATTAGCCTTTTCTTTCTAAATTATTATATGATATTTGTTTGTGAATATTAAACATTATATTACATTCCTCTAATTTGTATATCTTCAATAATTATTTGTTTCTATTCATATTTATAGGCTTCAACAGATTTTTCTCATAAA